GAACAGCATACTTACACGGTAGAATATCTCGATATCTGTTTTTCGCCTGGTTCATGGTAGCAGCATGGGTCGTCATGGATGGAGAGTCTAGTTCTTGTAGACGTTCGAGTTCCTACGAATAGGATTAATAAACTAAATAGATTAATAAACCAGACAATTTTTACCCAAGAAAGGATTTATTAGAACCGAAGGAAAATGAAGCCCCCAAATCACAAGTTGTTTTACAAAATCCTGTYGGGAACCAATCCTGGAAAGTACAGGTGAGAATGAGGCAAGCTCTCTCACGGCCAATGGACTGCTTTGACGATACGGCGGCCATCTTGTATTGCAAGACATTATGGGTCGTCCAGGGGGCAGATAAAAGCTTTGTTACAGTAATGACGTCAATTGATATTAACAGTTCAACACAAGAGAATACAACAAAAGATGAATTAAGACGGAACATCGATAACCTTTACCCATAAAAGAAAGACAAACACACGAAACTCTATATATTTTTCACTCTATTTTTTTTGACCCTTGGCAAGATGGCCGCCGTATCGTCGAAGTAGTCCATTCCATCTGTGACTTAGCCATGGCCTGACATCTTTCATTTCGACCCTGGTCCGTAGAGCTGCGCCCCTGCTATACTCGTAACGGCGAATAGCAATAACAAGTTTTTTTTTCTTTGACAGCCCTGGGTTAAACTGAGATGTAAATTTTGTTTCTTAAACCTAGTTTTCTCGGGAAAAAAACGATCCGTTAAGTTATTTCAGGGTATCGATAAAATATTTGAAAGTTTGAATTTGAAGCCTGTACAAATCTTCCYAAACAAGAATTGGAAGAATTGTTATGACGTATTTACGCTACTATTTACTACTAGATTAGTATCATTGAAATATTKTTAGGCAACAGTTATCTTTTTTCGCTAACCTGCCATTCCATGGTGAAGCCATCAGCAATCGTTCCATGYTTGGCACTGGCCAGACTCTTCACGACATTATCAAACCCTTGGACGGTAGAAAGTAAAGCTTGCAGGGATTCATCATCATTAAGGCACGCGTTATTTGTGTCATGACCCAGGCGCGATAACTGCGTCTCATAATAATGACCACATTGTCGATGAAACGATGGTTTCCGATCTTTGTGTTCATCTGTCAGCCTAAGTTCGRAATTACTCGGAATCTCCTCGCTACGACTTGGTTCATTAGAATGCAATMGGGCCGACGTTCCGGTTTCATCACTCGGACTGTCTTCGCTTTGATTYGGGCMATCAGYATGTAATTTACCARATTCGGTCTCATTTGTCGGTAYYYGCTCGTGTTGACTCGATAARTCCGAAGGTTTTGCAKATTCRGATTCATCTATCGGGCTGTGTTCGGTATGATCCGGAGTCACCACGACTGGTAGTTTCCCAGGCTCATAGAGATATCCAGTGGGATGTGGCGGTAGTGGTAATTGATTTTCTGGTTTTTGTTGAAGCTCTTTAATGTGTTTTATTTGTTCTTCAATCTCGAGACGGCGTAATTCTTCGGGGTCTTCAGAACTGGTTGACTTTTCTTCTTTCGCCGTTTCTTCTTCCTCACTCTCTTCCTCTTTTTTCGCTTCATTCTTTTCGTTTTCCTTTTCTTTAAGATCCTCTGCTTCGTGTTTATGTTCAGATAAATCATTTTTCTCGTTATTCTGAGGATCTTTCTGAATAACAAAATCTCCTTCTGTGGAAGCAGACCYTGGCTTGTGGATTGTACTGTTATCATTAGGTAAGGTGCTGTCTTCAACATTACTCTTCTTTGATCCGCTTTCGCCTTCATCATCTTTGGCAGTAATATCAAGAATGTCTTTAGACTTCTCCGTATTATCTTGGGTGCTGGTGATATTTGTAAAAAACTGCGACAAGCTTGCATAGTCTGGCAGAAATGCCTTATCACTTGACGAGGCAGGAACAAATGTCTTAGACTTTTCTTCCTTCGCCGTCTGGGTRTTCTCAGCCTTTTTCAGATTCATTGACGTGCTAAGAGGAGTGCTTACAGGCAAACCAGTGCTTTCGTGAGTTTTGGGTCCTTCGCTAGCTACACTTTTCGATGGCTGTTCCTGGTGCGTCGTGTCTTTGGGTYCCTGCTCTTGTACCTCAGGTGTCTTTGTCAAGTCTTTCACATGCCCGTGTTCGTGCTCATGAGCATCGTCCTTCTTCTCTCTCACCTTCATTTCTAGATCTGCCAGTTGTTTCTGCTGCTGTAAAATCCGCTGAAGCAGCAGCCCTATTTGTGCCTGCTCATGTTCATGTGTCTGCATCGTCTGCTGTTGCCTCAACATTTCCTGCTGCTGCAGAATTAACTGTTGCTGCTGAAAAAGCAATTGCTGTTGGAACTGCTGCGCTTGTTGCTGCGAAGATGAGGTCTGGTATTGACTCAGCTGATTCTGTGCAAGGGCGACAGAGAAACTTGTCAGATAATCTGAAGACTGAGCCACATTGCCCTGTCTCGCTTCTTGATTCTCTTGGAGAAGTGAAGGTGTTGGTCGTCTAGCTTCAGGTGGATAACCAGGAGGAAACGTCGACAAATTGGGCTGACTGGACAAAAAAGCACCAGTTTCGGGATACGAACGAGAGGACATTACTTTATCAAATGGTTGGTAAGGTGGAAGATTTGGCGATGCAAAGGGTTGCTGCTTCTGCTTCTGCTGCTGGGGAAATGTTCCACGAGTTCCTACATCAGGATGACTCGTCTTCTTATCCTCCTGTCCAGGTAGATTTACTGATTCAGGTCTGGTGGTCTGTTGTGTGGGAGGTTCGTTTGGCAAGACTTCAGGGCGAAAAGGCCCTTGCTTGAACGATGGATTGGGTTGCTGTTTCATCTGAAATGATTATAGAATATTCTAAACACTGAAGGACCTTCTTTGCACTTAGTACCTCTCGGCAAACTGCAAATATAATCATTGTCGACTTCACAAAAAKTCACAAAAAATCGCTTCAAATATCTTTTTGCTCTTCAATTTGAAAAATTTAGATTCCGAATTTGGAAAAAACAGCCTAGAAAGAAATGAATAGAAGAAATTTGCTTTAAATTTGCAGGTTTGTAAGATCAAATCTAAATAATGGCAAAACTGACAAGAAAAAAAAATTTCCCATTTCTATCTAATCTATTCCAAGTGGACTCTACATCTAAGTCTAAAGCGAAATAAAGCTCAATTCTATATAATATTTACGTAATTAATTTTATCATATTTTATTTATATATAATTATTCACAAAGGTCTCATTTCTCGAGTGTGCAATACAAGCGCCGAAAGACGACCCACAAGAAAATTTGGCCAAGAATGTTTCAAACACTGTTAGTGAAATCCAAATGTTTTTGTTTCCACCTAGTAGGGYGTTACCTGATCAGGTCCAAACGGATAGGGTTGGTTGTCTGCTTGTGAAATATGTGGTGGTGGTTGTTCTGGCCGTGAAATTTGGCCAGGCAGTAATGGTTGCTGGAACTGTCGTTGTAGCTGAAATGGTGGTTGTTGTCCAGGTGGTAATTGTGTTGGAAYCTGTTGGCCAGGATGAACATTCCCTCCTACACGTTGATCGGGACGAAAAGGAGGTTGTTGCTGAGAATGAGGTGGCCTCTGAAATGATTGATCTGGCCTATATTCTCCTTGGGAGGGTTGACCAGGTCTAAATGGTTGCTGAGACTGTTGCTCTGGCCTGGGCTGTCCTTGTTGCGGTTGAT